AACGGAAAAACAGCTAAAAGAGTTGTTAAGTTAAAATGTTAAAGGAAAATGTTATACTTACAATATCATATAATATTATAAATTTATAACATGATATATAATTATATAGTTAATTATTCTCATTTAAAGGTTCATTTGTAATATTATATATATTTATTCATCTAATACCATATTTTACCCATTTATTATTATGTTATAATTATAAATTTATAATTTTACGTAACATTATAATTATAAAATTACTGAAATTTAAACTATTTCAAAGCGTGGAACTGCTGCTGCAGCATGCTTGCACGTTTGCGTTCTTGTAATGCTCTAAATCAATTCTTGCTTTATTTACCTTAGCGATTAGGGGGGCTTTCTTAGGGTGTGTCTGGTTTAGTTGATTTTTATCAATCTATTTCTATTTTTTTTCCCTTAAACATGGTTAGGGTGTTTAAAAATATTAATTTTGATTTAAAATAATTAAGTAACAGATATTAATTATTCTATTAACTATTAATTATTTTTAACAATCAAGACCAACTAAATCTTGGACACAAAATTCAATGAGCCATTGTACATAGAGAGCGGAACACAAAAACAGGGACAGAAGATTAGGATCCTGCGCTTCCACTAGCAAAGATGCAAGCGGCAGAACTCGAGTTTGTACCATGACAAGTTAACCATGCATTTCTTTTTAATTTTTTAAAGAGGACAATTTGCATAGGAAAAAATGTCATCTATAGAGTTTGAAAACACAATCTACAAGAGATCATTCCCACTTAACCAAGAATCTTGACCATGCATTTGATCCCATCTCGTTGGCCCCCTCAAATATTTTATGCATCCTGGGTCCATGATCGACCCCGCCTATGTAAATCGCTACAAGCATCACTCGCTCCAACAAGCACCAGCTAAGACAGGATAGGAGAGGTTGATTCTCTCAATGGAGTGTAAGAAGTTTAGTTTTTTTTCTTCTTCGTTGCAATGGAAAATGCTACTTGTGGCATCTATTGCTCATGTTGGATGCTACTGCCTAACAGCGGGCACCTTATACAAGGGCAATTGGAATAGCTGCTGTACCGGCCCATCCTGTCAATGGTCTAATACTGATTACTCTTACAGATGCTATTAGATCTGGAGGGACGTCGTAGTTGTTGTTTTCATTATACTATGGTACATGACAATCTTCCTTGAATGTGGGGTTATTGTGATAATTACTCAGCCAACAATGGATCAAGGACGCTAGTTATCCTACCACCATGTGTTTGAAATAATTGTACCGAATAATGATGTTTGTTTGTGTTTGTTATTCAAATCATTGTTAACGTTGTTAGGTGTTGTTATTACTGGTTTGCTAGTTTTCTCATCACTCTATTTGATAAGAAGTTGTAAATGACTTAAACAACTGGATGATAATCTCTTCAAAAATGCAGAAAATGCAGATGAGATGCGTAAAACTATTGAGATTTTATAGGGTTTTATCTTATTAAGTTAAAATAAAATAAAATAAAATAAGGCCCTAAGGGTTCGCTGTGATCCAAACCCTTCTCAAATTCAAGAAAAAGTTTGTAATTGTCCCCAATTCTCTAAGGGGAGTCAATCAAACGGTAATACAAATGCTTATGGAGATCGGAGTATTAATTAACAATACTACTCCCAGGAATGAGAATTTTACACTTATTTTCTTATTCTTCTTCTTTTTTTAAAAATAAAAAAATAAAAAAAAGGGACGAGTAAACGAGTCAGTTTATGGATATATAAGAATAATGCCTTACCTGACTCCATGACCAAAAAAGGACACATACATATTAAACATACTAAAAGCTTGCCTTTAGCAAAACCCAATCCTAAATTGTATAAGCTCAATCTAAGGTCATTCTAACTTATCCAAACTCAAAACCAACAAAGTCCATTTTCTACCTTATACACATTCCTAAATGACTAAATCGCAAATTATTTTTTCCATTATTGAGTACCAAATGCACTCAAGAAGTAAGTTTCAAGGTACCAAAAACTGAATCAAATTAAAGAAATGTATGTGATTTAATTTCAACAATGAAGAAAGTTTTGGACACAAACAAACAATGTCAATCTTTTCAAACAGGACAAACAAGCTTAACACAGAAAGCGAAATCTAACCTTGCATGTGTGCTAACAATGACACTGACTTGAAAAACTCTTACAAAGTAAAGGCCACCCACCAAGCAGAGAAGATTATTGGTAGCTTGTAACGCATAAAGAGGCATAAGGCATTCAGATTGTCTTGAGCTACAGCATTTGCTAATTGGGTTGAAAATAACATGTCATTTTGTCCATCGTCCACCAGCACCTGCAGTTTGCACAACAGCCAATTCCCCTATTCTACAAGCATGCGTCACCACGTCAAGAGATTTCATCTTAACCCAGATCTTAGGGTGATTGGAAAGGAGTATATTTGTCTACCTGTCATGATGACCTCTCAAACATTCTGATTCAGGTTGAGAAACAAAAACAGGAACTGCAATAACGAACTGGCTGAGTCAATGACTGTAAGCAGGGTCAATATCTACTAAATACACCTTCATTGCAAACTGGCAGCTAAAAATGTAAGGTAAGGAAAAAAAAAAGAATCAGATGGATTGTAAACAAGAAAAGCATCAACAAACAATATGCTGTGGATACAATTTGAATAAATTACCTGCTGCTGAATTCCCCCTCTTGAAAACACCTCAAATTATTATTCACATGTGAAGGCCTTGAATCATGATCAACATGATCAGACATGAAGTTTTCAATAGGAAAGAAATAGATGGATGCAACACGTGGAGACCAACGGTTGTGGGCAACTAACTTCTAGATTTCAAAGTTTGTTGATTCTTCTCCAAAGCATTGCCTCAATTGGATTTCTTTCCTTTTAAAGACTCCACGTGTTGATCGTATTAATCATGATTCCAGGATTCCACACGTCTTAATAATTTGATGTGTTATTACCTCTCTTTGCAACTGCCAACTGCCAACTGCCAACTGCTGCTAGGGTTGGCCAACCCAAATATCAACTTGTACATACAAGCTGACGTAACTCCAACAAAAAACATGAAAAAACTGATAACATTAAGGAATTGATTTCGATTGACATGGTAGAATTCACTATACAACCACTTTTGACTCCAACAACAACAAGAAACATGAAGAAAAAACTTCTGCAGTAAGGAATTGGCTTGGATTGACATAGAAGAATCCACTAAATAACCACTTTCCTCTACTGCTTCTATTCTTCTTCTTTTGTCAACTATAACACCAATTTGAACCCTACTGACAAGAAGTCATCCCTGAGAGAAACAAGACCAAGTTCATCAGACTAAATTGCATTTGGTAAATATAACAGCATTTATATATACTACAATTTCTTCTTTTCCTATTGGGCATTCTAAAAGCATGCAAGGTGCACAAAAAGGCACTTCCTTCTCAGGAAGTATTCTTGAAATGGCATTTTTCTTGAACAAGAAATTTATCTTGATGTTGTCCATTGAACTACGAATCTTAAACTTGTTATCTTACAAAGTAATACCAACTCAAACAGAGGGACTACTTAATAAATTACTAAAATGATAACTAATTCATTAGGAAGATAGATATGTGTTCATGCTATTCAAAAGCAAAAGATAGATACATTAAAGGTGTGTGCTGTTTTTTGGTTACTTACTTTTCATCCTCTTCCTTTTGCTGCCTTGCATCATTTCTCTTCTTGACAGCAAGAGAAACAAGGCTTTGCAGACAAATATCTGATTCATAGGAAAACAGCACACCACGGGCCTTGACCGTTGTGGCTTTCTTTTTCTCAAGATCATACCAAAAAAGTTTTACGCTGTCAAATACCAATAGAACTTGATCTCCACCCCTGGAGTAAACCAAAGGCTTCACAGACCTAAAAGAATCAGTCAGCTCTCCGCATGCCAATGAAAGCAATTTAGTCCAAGACTCTTTCACCCCATATTCCCTCATTACCCACAAATCAACATGAGAATCAACATAATCAGCAATAACACATAAACACCCTTCCAAAACCCCCACTTCCAAGTGGAATTCTTCTCCATCTGGATACTCAGGCTGTGGTACTTCCCTATACTCCTCAACTCCTAAATCCAAAGCAACAATTGTATTCACATTTTCAGGTTCATCTTTACGACTCACAGCCCAATGTAAAGCACCACAAACAAAAACTCCATTTGCTCCAGGAAAGGATAAAACATAAGGAAGATCCTCAATCCTCCTCCACCCCTTTTCCCCAAAGCTCCAAACTTTAACCTCCAATTCAAAAACCTTGTCCTCCACCCGAAAAGACTGTATAATCCTCACAACTTTATAATCGTCATTAACGGAATCATACCCGAATCCATAAACAAACACCTGACAAGCCCCAAGTGACAAAGCGGGTAAAATCAGGTATTCTTTTGTGGAAGGATTCCATACAGCTATATCATCAATGATGTTATACACACAAAGCAACCCATTACAGGAACCCAGGATCTTGATTCCGTCTTGGCAATCCATCAAAGGATGGTCGAGTCTGGTGGCGAAGGAATCGAAGGAAGCCAGATCGACAAAGTTCAGATCTGAGTTGTTGAGGATGAGTACACGATTGGTGCGGGTGTTGATGGAGCGGTTGAGGTGCAAGACGACGAAATCGGAGCTCTGAATCAGAGAGTCGAATGTTTTGGAGACGCACCTTAAGCACAAGAGGTCCTTGACGGACAATCGACTGAGTATGTCGGCGATTACGTCCAGTGGGAAGTTCGACATCGTCAACGTCAGTGTCGGAGTTCGAAGTTCCTTTGACTTCTTAGATTTGGTGTTCGGAAATGGCTGCGGCCTTTTACGCCCTTTATTGGGGTGTGGTTATTGCCACACCCTAGGATGTTATATTGCCATACCATTTTTTAGTTGACCATTGTACCCTTCAGCAAGTACTGTTTAAAACTTTAAATTTTCTTTTTGTACTTTGTGTCAAATACACTGTCCTCTTTTGACTTTTCCCTAAATTTAAGTTTATCCATATTATTCTTTTAAAAAAAAGGAAAAAAATTATTAAATGATTAATTAATGTAAATAAATAATAATAGAGTTAAAGAAAAAAATCTTTACTTATTTAGGAAAAGATAAACTAAATAAAATTAATTTAAAATAAATTCAAATTAAAAAAAGACAACTATATTGGGAGAGGCGTAGTATAATTTTAAAAACTTATCTCCTCCCAAATTCTAAATAAGCATTTAAAAACTTAAGAAATTGTGTGAATAATTATATGAACTTAACCATTTTTTCTATTATAAGATACAAGGAACTTTTGAGATTTCTAAATCAAGTAATAAATTTTTATTTTTAAAATAAAGATATTGATTTTATATTGTTTCTATTTAAGGATTTATTAAATAACGATAATAACATGACAAACAATAATTTTAATTATTACCAAAAAATAATAATCTTAATCGAAATAAGATAAAATTCATATTTTTAAATAAAAAAAATTATATTCTTAAATAAAAAAAAATTCATATCTTTATCTAAATCTTCTCTTCAAAACCGTCATCTAGTCAGACTTCAATCCCTTGATAGTTCTTACAAACTGAAACCCTTTATCCCTTGATTACTCCCCCCATCACAGAGCAATAATAGTCATTTTTTAAAGTCAAATTTTATTTTAAATTAATTGTTATTATTTCATATTTGAAGGGTAAAATTTTTTTTTTCTTATTTTAATCTCATAATTATCCTTTAGTTTTAATTAATCATTCTATTACAACAAGTCTTTATTTATCTTTCTCTATATTTCTCTGTTCTTTGAAGGGTAAAATAGATTAAAAAATAAACTACCCTTAAATTCTTATATAATATGAAAACAAAAAATCTTTATTATTTTAGGATAGAAGGAATAATTTAATTTCTTTTTTTTGAAACATCTGTAAATTATTTTTAAAAAATAAAATAAAATTCCCTGCAAATTATAAATTCTCACCCTTTACTGGATTTGATTTATGGGTTTGCTCAGGGAAAAAAAAAAAAAAAAGAAGATTTGTGGGTCGCTAGATTAGATGATTGTTGATGTTTTCTAGATAATGTGCGGTTTCAATTTTCTATTTCCAAACCAAAGGAGCTTGACCGGATAATAGGATGTAGAGGGTGTAGTAGAAAGTAGAAACCATATGACAATTGATCAACAAGTTATAAAGCCAAAAAAACTGTAGCACCACAGCTATTTCGGCCTTACCTCATGTTATCTCAAGCCGTGGTGGATCAATAATCCAAACAATCTCATTCTCCAAAATTGGCTTTCGGGTTTCCAAGTTCGAGGTTTTCTAGAGCTATTTTAAAGAGATTTTAGAAAGGGTGTTTCATCTGTCCTAGTATGGTCATTCTGGTGGCTGGCGGATTTCTATTTTTAAACTTGGGATGATGCTATTCTGGTGGCGAGTTCATCATGGATCAGGTATGGATTGCTTGATGAACTGTGGGATTCAACCGTCATTGGTTAGTTCCAATCTAACTACAAACGATAAAGAGTAAATTATTCAACTAATAAAAAATGGTGTTACAACAAACCCAACCCTTTTAATTGCTCTTTTATGTATTTTTCTTTTTGCTAAATGCTGGCAATTGTTGTTTTTGTTTTTTTGGTACATTGGAAGATAAAAAGCAGCTTAAGCTCGTAGGAAAGTGGCCCCTAGAATATCACCATCCAAAACTAGTTACCTAATACCAGTAGGAAGCTCCGAATACAATAAGGAGAGTAATGTCCAAGAGAAGCCGTGAAGTCCGCAGCTACGTTGCCTTTCTGAAGCGTATGCTGGATAGAACAAGTGGGGAACTCTACCATGCGGTCCACTGGTTGAGCCGTGCTCTTCAATGAAAAAGTGATGGCATTCACTCTCGTCTAGAGATTGAATTCTCAGTTTTTAACAATCAACTAACTTAACTTACTAACTATTGTTTTTGTTAAAAAAAAAGAAAGAAAGATATAGAACAAGTGAGAACAGCGTCCATAGGAGCTAAAATGTCTGAAAGTAGCACTGAGGCATTACCACCATTAACTTTCTGAGCTTGGATCATTTGTATGGCTAATAGTGAGTCCATTTCAATGATCAGATTAAGGATACCCTAAGGAGTAAGGTAGCCTTACACCCTCTCTGCAACCCCACAGTTCGCAACGAAACTTGAGGTTGTAGCAATGTGGACAACAAAACCGTGCAGCGACCTATAACTCAATGCTGGCAATTGTTGTGCTCGAAGGAAAGGGGCTGTTTGGACCAACTAACGGTCCAGTAAGACTAAGCATTAGGCCCAAATATTTATTTTTCCTTCTTTTTTTTAATACTTAATGTGTCCTTAAATTAATTTTTACACAGTTTAAAATTAATCTTTTCCCTAAATGATTTTAAGAGTATTACACTACATCGAACTAATACATTGAAGAAAACAAATTTCTATAAATGCTGATTCAAAACTTAAATTCTAAATTTGACTTTATAAGATAACATTTATTTACTAATAAATTTAACATTAGTTTGACCCAATTGTGCTAAGTAAAATTGTAGAAAAATTAGCCATGTATTAGTAAGAGGCGTTTATTTTGGATTTTTACAAATAGTTATTAGTTGTTGATTTTAATCAAACTAATTAGATATTTTGAATTATAAATAATAATAATTATTAGTTATTAAATATTAACCATAAACTATATTGAAAAGATGAATCTAAACAACTTTAAAACTTTCTTCTTCTTTTTTTAAATATGTGCCAATTAAAATTTTTTTAAAAAAAATATTATATAATCTAAATTATTCTAATTTACACAATATTTACAATTAGTTGAAGGTGGAGTTGGGACTCCTCTCCCGTCTAATAGGCTATATTTTATAATCTTAGACTCCGAACGGTAAACTAGAGGCTTAACTTAAAAACTAGTTTCCTTTATATTTTGTTTACAACAGACAATATACCACACAAGTAGCTGTACCAAAAAAAAATATACCACACAAGTAGAAAGAACCAAGTACAAGTTTCTGGGTACTTGGTTAACTACCAGCACTAGAAATTACGGAATTTAGGAGTCACCATGTCAGTTAAGGTGCGGTAGTACTTATTTGGACTTACTATTAAAAGAATAAATGGTGAATAATTCAATATAATTTAAATTATATAATAATTTTTTATTTTTAGTTTTTAAATTGTAAAAGTAGAAATTAAGTTAAATGTAGTTATAATTACCTATTGATTTATTAATGTCACTTAATATTATTTAAAATATATTAATTTTGCTTGATTTATATGTTAAAAACAGTTAATAATTAATATTCATTACTTAATAAATTAAAATAAATTCATAAATTTATATTTTTAAATATTATAATTTATTATTTAAAAATTTATAAATATTAATCAAATTAAATACAGATTTAGCAACCTTAAGACATCAAGGGGTGACCATAACAACGCTGCATTTCTATAAGAGACAAGTTTTAAAAAGGTGTTTTCAACATCTCTAAAAGCCCTGACTTAAGGTTAGAAGCTGAAACATCAAATCTGTATCTATGGGAATTGACCCTTTGTTGTTACACTTCTGGAATTTTAACACTTTTAATAACTCTAAAATTTTTCTTATTAATATTTTATATAAAGTTATAATTTAACATTTTTACAAAAAATTTTACTCAAATAACACTTCTACCGAAATGAAAATTAAGCTAAGCAGTTTCTTAAAGTCATTGGCCCTATTATGACTTTATGAGTTATTTTTCTTGAAACTTACTTGTAAGTCACCTTAGAAGCCAAATTCAAATATTCTTTTCAAAAGATTTTTTAATTTGTGAAAAAAAAGAGTTACTTATAAACAAACTTGTTTTTAAGTTGGGGATATTTCACTTCCCCCATGTGATTTGGGTGGTTGCATCTAACCCCCAAAATCACAAAAACGTTGACTAAATCTTTTTATGGCTCAAAAATATGCACTTAGTGCCTTAAATTTATTAATTTTAAAAGTAAAATCTCAAGAATACTCAAAGGTTATGTGCACATTCATCTAACAATAGGAAATCAAAAGTATATTTTCATAATTTGAGAGTTAAGTACACTTTTCAAATGACATAGGGTTAATGTGCTCATTTCGTGAAAGATTAATGTCAACAAACAAGAGGTTAATCAAGCTCAAATATGTAACAAAAAAAATTTGAGCTGGTATAAAGCAACAATGGTTGTCACTAATTACTTAAAATAAAGTTCTCAGATTTCAGCTTAAGATTACTTTGAAGAGAATTAATTGACTTTCGAGAAACTCAAAAACTGGCCGAAAACAACCAAACCATTCAAAATTTCAAATAAAGAAAAAAAGTCTCAAATTTCAGTTCGTCCTAGCTATGAGAAAATGAACATTGCTCCTAAAACTTTCTAGACTGGTGATATTTTTAAAGTGAAGAGTTTTTAATTGAAGTGCCAACTCAGGCACTGCCTCGATGTTAGAGTTACGAGAGACATCTAGCAGCATGCACCTATAAAAATTGAAGAGAATTGAAGGAAGAAAAAACCCAAAGAATCCAAGCTAGGCATCCCGAGGCAGAGGCAGTGGACGAGGCCCATCTTTAACGTCTATGCTTTGGTGCCATCTTACCATGTGGCATCAGCAAACGGGTATACCTTTATGCCTCACCATGTGTCATCGGCAAACGCCCTTTACGTCCATTACATGAAAATTAGCAATTCTGAAGTTCTCCGGGCACCTTTCATACACAGTAATTCAAGCACATTGGAGAACTACCACAGCTATGGAGAAATCCTCATGCAATTTTAATTACATCATTCCTCCT